AGAAGTTTACAGAAAGGGAACCCCACAGCTTGGGGCTCGAGTAGCTGAAAGCATGGCCATGATTGTAAATGGCAGGGATGTGTCAGAGGTCGAGTTGGAGGTGTGCAGAGATCTTGGTATATTTAGGAAGGATGAGGCTGGATGAGACTCTCAAAAACTGTTTAAGACTTTGAAAGTGGATGTCAATGTATCAGGAGCAGGAGACAATCAGCAAGTCCTGGCCAAATGAATTAGAGTGAGATGAGGCAGCTTTTTACTGAATGACGAAGGGCAATAATAAATGCACACAAATGACAGGAGATTCTGTGTTCTGTTTGAGGCACTCTCCCACACTGACTTCTTCCACATCTTGAACGCAGGGGAGCCTGTTAGGAACAAGAATAGGCCATTCAGGCCCTCCAACCTATACCATCATTCACTAGTAGGACAGACTAGGAACTGAGAGTACAGCCTCAGAGTGAAGGGACAACCCTTTAGAACTGAGATGAGGAGGAATTTCTTCAGCCAGAAGATGGTGAATCTGTGGAACTCATTGCTGCAGAGGGCTGGAGGCCAAGTCATTGAGTGTATTTAAGACAGAGATAGATAGGTTCAAGGCAGGAGAATGGGATTGAAAAGCATATCAGCCATGACCGATGGGCCAAATAGCCTATTCTGCTCCTAGGCCTCATGGTCCAGGAAGTAGATATAGCTCTTGTAGCTAAAATGATCAATGGATATGGGAGGGGAGGTGGGGGAGGGAGAGATTAGGGTATCTAATTAGGGTATCACAGTATCTAAACACTACAGAGCAGCAATGGAATACAACCCTAGAACAGGCCATCACCATCAATCAACACAAAACCAAAACTAAGAAGAGACACGAACTGCAGGAGAAACTTAGCAAACTGATCCACCACAAAGACAAGAACAACAACAAACCAGACACATTGATAAGAAACCCATCCAAGAGCCAACTCACAGAAACTGAGAAAGCTGTCCCGTTATGCGGACTGAACTACTGACAACAAGACTCCTAAGACCATTAGGAATCATGGTAGCCCAGAAGCCCACAGCCACTCCATGACAAACAAGGATTAAAGACCCCATTCCCACAACATGCAGAACCAACGTGGTTTACCAAATACCATGTAACGACTGCCACAAACATTACATCAGACAGACAGGAAGGAAACTAGCCATCAGAATACATGAACATCAACTAGCAGCAAAACATCACGACGAGATCTCCTTAATATCAGTACATTCAGACAGTGAAGGCCATCCATTTAACTGGGACAACGTAACCACAGTAGCAAACATAGACATGCACGGAATTCCTAGAGGCATGGTTCTCCACCCATACTTCAGTCAACAAATGTATAAAATTGGACCCCATATACAAACCCATACAGATCAAAACTGGAAATGACACTACTAACCATAATGGACCGGACAGTATAAATTCCAAGCGGAGTAGAATAACATTGTTTCATCGGAGACCTCACTAATGATGTCACCTAGCACGGTGACAAAACATCTGAATGAGAACAAGCCAGCTCTGCGAGCAAGTCAACAACCTTAGAGATTAGGGTGTTGAACTCGATGATCAGCCATGATCATATTGAATGGCAACTCCAGTTGTTATCTTCTTTGTTTCTATCTCTCACCTGTGGTCTAACTCCATATGCCTGCCTTTGACCCATATCCCTTATTAGTTTTGCTTAACTAAACTTTTATCGATCTCAGATTTAAACTAAACAACTGGTCCAGCATCCACTGCAATTTGTGGAAGAGAGTTCTAAACCTCTCCCACCCTTTGTGTGTAGAAGTGCTTCCTAACATCTTTCCTGAATGGTCTGGCCTTAACTCTCAGGCTATGCCCCTAGTTCTAGAATCTCCAATCAATGAAAATAGATTATCTTTATCAACCCTGTCTTTTCCTATTAATATCTTGAAGATTTCGATCAGATCACACCTTAACCTTCTAAATTCTAGAGAAAACAGGACTAAGTTGTATAATTTCTCATCATAACCTCCCTCTGAGGTCCTGGTATCATTCTTAAAAACCTACATTGTACTCCCTTCAAGGCCTATATATCCTTCCTAAGGTGTGGTGCCCAGGTATGCTCTCACTACTCCAAGTGAGGTCTAACCAGGGTTTTGTATAACTGCAGCATAATGTCTGCGTCCTTATACTCCAGTCCTCTCAATAGAAAAGCCAGCATTCCATTAGCTTTCTTGATTATTTTATGCACCTCTTTGTGGCATTTTAAAGATCAATGCCCCTGAACCCCCAAGCCTCTCTGGCCATCCGCTGTATTTAACTTTGTACCATCTAAAAAGTGCCCTGATCTATTCTTTATTTTTGATCCACTCACTTGCATTGGACTCTATCTGCTGTGGTTTTGCCCATTCAGTTCGTCTGTCAATATCCCTTTGTAATTTTAGGTTATCATCTACACTGTCTACAATGCTGCCTAATCTTGTGTCATGAGCAAATTTGGATATATGACTTTTTAGTTAATAATAAATGTGAATACTTGAGGCCCTAACACAAATTCTTGTGGGACACCACTGGTCACTGGTAATTTGAATCACTAACCATTAGCACTACTTTCTGTCACTTGTCACTCAACCAATTTCGCAGCCATGTCAGTTCTGTGCTCTTTTACCCTATTGACAGTCTTTCATGCAGGACTTTATCAAATGCTCTCTGGAAGTTCATAAAAACAATATCCATTGACCTTCCCTGTCTACTACTTTAGTCATCTCTTCGAAATGTTCAGTGAGTTTTGTCAGGCATGACCTACGTTTCATGAATCCATACTGGCTCTCTCTGGCTAACTGAAACTCTTCAAGCTGTTGAAGTACCCCATCCTTGATTAGACAAACCAACAGGGTTAGCAGGGTTACAGTATATCTCCAAAACCCCAGAGGAAATATAGCCCCTTCGGCCCTCTCTGAACCCACATATCCTATCTGTCTCGAGTCAAACATTCATGACACCTCTCCCCACCTCTCACCAAGCAGCCTGCTAAAGGTCCCTTCTATTCTCTGCTCTCTGACATTCTCCTGTCAGGAGGTAGAGGGTCAAAACCTGTCATCATCCTGATGCCATGTACCATCTCTGGGCAGTGCAGTCAGTGCCAATGTTACCCTCTCTGTCTGTTTCCATGGTATTATTGCTGGAACTACAAGTACAAAGCTAATATAACCTGGGAATCTGACACAGCTGCTCCAAACGAAGAGTGAGTTAGTTAGTGACGATGGCCTGAATAACAGAGAATCCTCTTTTTGTTTCCCACATTCACTTTTCTCCCCAGCCTAAGTACAGTTGTAAATATTATCTCCATATCTCACTCTCTCAGTGACAAGGAGTGGGGTGAATGGTGTAGCTGACTTTAAAGGGAAGCTAGATAAATATGTGTGGGAGACAGGAAGAGGAAACAGTGATGGGCATAGATATAGTGGATATAGGCCTGTGTTAAACGTTGAAAGGACAAAGCCACTGACAGAGATACATGGGGCCAAATGGTCTATTTTTGGATTTAGATTCTACACAATTCTCTTTTAGTTATTTGGTCTGTCAGAACTGGAATATTGCTTAAAAAATTATCAAAACTTTTCATCTTGTGCTTCTTGGAGCAATTGCAAGGAAGCCAGTTCAGGGGTGAAACCATTATTAAAATAAATGCTGGTTTTCCCCTGGACTTTGCATTCTTGTGAAATGTCCTGATGAGTGCAAGACAAAAGGCTTTGACAAAATGTGTCTTTTTTTTCAGCAAAGCACAAGTCTCTTTCTATCTCTTCCTCTCTTTACTCTTTCCCTTTCTCAATATACCTTACTCATTTTCTGTGCCTGCCTTACTCACTTCAATCTCACTTTCATTCTAGCATGTAAAGGCACAAGTGAGAACTTAGGGCTCTCTTGCCTGGGACCAGCTTGCTGTCCTTACTGTGCTGGGCTATGAAGCACAAGGATCACTGGAAATTTAATGAGAGTGTGTCGTCAGAGGAACAGGTACCAACTTACACCTACACATTCTGAATTTGAATACAAAATGCAAATTCCAGCATCCTCAAACTGCAGACTGATAGCAACAGACCAAAGCAATGATCAAAAGGACAATGCTACAATTAGCAAGAGCAGGAATCCACATGCAATTTAACAACAACTACACTCACAGACACACGTTCCTCAACACACTCACAGACTAACACACTCCAAGATGGACTAACACACTCAC